AGATCCTCATACGTCGAAACCGACGGGAGAGACCATTATATATATATATATATATATATATATATATATATATATATATATATATATATATATATGGATAAGAAGTGTTTGATTAATTGGGGTTATATGAAGAATTAAATGATAATAATAAGTAAAGACAATCTTTAATAATTCATTTCGGTTCATGAAAATTTCAATACAAGATGAGGACAAAAACACAGAAAACAGTCTGCCTGCCTTATGTGAAGGGGTTATCAGAGAAAATACAAAGGATCTGCGGTCCATATAACATCAGGACAACCTTCAAAAGCTGGACGACACTTTGCAGATATCTCTCCCGAGTAAGAACCCCCATAGAGGAGAACATGACTAAAGACTGTGTATACGCTATCCCGTGCAGCTGCGGAAAGAAATATAAAGCGGTGACAGGCTGCCCCCTTAAGGTAAGGCTTCCAGAAAGCTGTAACACGTGGGGAAGTGGAAAAATCAGGCGTGGATGACCACATATGAGGGGAAAAGGGAGATCACAGCCCTCTGTGGGATCATGCTGAGATCATAGACAAAGAACACCATTGGAAAATTCGTAAACTTAAGGAATCAGTACACATGCTAAGCCACAAAAATCTCCTGAGCCGACCAAGCATAGAAATGAATACAATATGGAAACCACTAATAATGAGTGCCAGAGAAAAGCGATAATAACAATAAAAGTTGCAATATGAGCTCTGGTAAAAACATGAATGATAACAGCAAAAAATTGCAATATGAGCACTGGTAAAAATGGTTGCTGAAGACATTAGGTTTATAATACCCAGAAATTCATGCACAATGTCCTCAAGGCACTGTGAATAAAGGCGTTGGTTAGATCCAGTGACAGGACCCAAAGAGCGTGAGTTCAATACCCGGTTAAGGCAGTGGAGAACTTTCAGTGGGAAATTAACAGGAGATAACTGATAACTGGCATCCATTAAACATGGCACGTAGAATTAGAACAGTTCACCCCAGGGAGCGAAATAAAGGGTTCAGTTTGACATTTCAACCACCTGAAGAAGGCCGGAGCGTTGTAATAAATATCGCAACAAAGATGAGGACAATAGTCCGAATAATGTAAATAGGGTTCTTTCTTCCTCTTTTAATATATAATCTTTTCTCTGTTCCTTTTTCTTTCTTTTTTTTTCATCTCCTTTTTCCCTTTTGTCTGGCCAAATTGATTCCATTTCTTAAAAAAACTTCAATCGGAAGAGATGAATATTTGTATATTCATGAAATAAATTATAACCGAATGGATTTTTAAGGATTATCTCTACTCATTATTATATTGCTCTGTTACTTACATTGAGCTCTCTTTGTATTAATGTCATCCTTGGAATTATCCCTACCAATTATCAATTGAAATTATATATATATATATACTACCAATTTGTAATTGGTAGTGATTATCCCAAAGAGAACTTTAATCCAATGAGAGCTCAGTGTAAGTTGCAGAGCAATATATAATGATAAATTAAGCAAATCCCTTAAATATCTATATTGGTTATAATTTATTTCATTAATATTGTTATATTCATCTCTTCAGACCGAATATTTTTAAGAAAAAAATCGGTCTGATATATATATATATATATATATATATATATATATATATAGAGAGAGAGAGAGAGAGAGAGAGAGAGAGATCCATTACATTCCCTAATACCCTTGAGAAAGGTATGCATCCTCTTCTTCTCTCTCCATCAGGGAGAAGAAGAGGATGGGTAAATAGCAGGGTAGACTGGGTTCTATAACCTTGGATGGCATCTGGCCCTTCAAAGAGTGTGTATGATTCGGCACAAAACCTTCTCCTTTACTGGTGTCGGGCTGTCGGTTCCTAGGAAGTGAGTTGCTTGACCCTCATACGACGGGAGAGTCGAATATATATATATATATATATATATATATATGATTGTTTTTTATAAAAAAATTTATAACATAAGTATGTTATAAAATCACTACAAAAATAGCCATTTTGTTTCAACACACTCTGTGTCTTATCAAGTATATATATATACTATTGTGCAAATTAATTGAAACAACCACGTTTAGTTTCCTTCTTTCATCATACGGTCAGTTTTAGAGTGTAATCGATTTCTATTTTTTCCTCAGGTTAGGCCATTTGCATTTATCTGTTTTCGGGGTGTATGGCGACATTTGTTTAGCCTTGAAAAAAATTGCGTCATCTGTGATTGCATCAGATTTTTTATCACGCCCAAACACTATTGTCTCGACTGTCGATTAGTTGTCCTACGTCCATTGTCTGCGATGGACGTTACTCCAATTGTAACGCTGCACAAACACACTCACAAGCCTTACCAGTGTGTAAATCAAAGTAATATAGATTTGCCCGGAAACTCTTCTGATTTAAATCCAATCGAGAATCTGTGGTCAGTCTGCAAGGAACGACTTCGTGGTATTGACATACGGAGTCCTAACATGTGCACTGGGGCTTGTTTCAATGGAAAAATATGAATAAAAGTAAATAATAAAGGTAACAGACGCATGCCGTGGAAGCCTTTAGTCTGCAAATTGCACGTAGGCGGTAGGTGTGTGTGCGTGATGGGCGCTTGTCTAAGAAGTGACTGCGACTCTGATACGAGGTCTTGTATTCGAGACAGAAATTCGTTCTGAATATCAAGATCAATCCCCCTGGAGAGAAATCAGGTTGGCGGTTCCTTAACCGTCAATTCTAAAACTAAGAATTTTTTTTTTGCAAATGCACTTACACAAATCCAGGGAATTATACTTTTTAATGAATTAGTTATTTGAATTCTTTTACGCAACAAAAGAATGACGTTTTTTGATAAATGACCCACTTTGCTTGATTTGACCCAATGAGGAAATTTGGATGACCTTTTAATTCGCCCCCAATACGACGTTTTTTATCAGCTTGAAATTCGGCCCAAACAAAATGAAAAATATAATCTGTAAAGTACAGGGCAAAACAAAAACCGTGACGATTCAAATAAAATGTTTTCTTTTATTTTTGTTTTGAAACCATAAATTCTGGGAGGCCGGCCGAAACACATTTGCTAAGATAAGTTTTCATTTGTTTATATATACTCGACTCCCCCGTCGAATTCGACGTATGAGGGTCATGCAGGTCAGTTCCTAGGAAACCTACAGCTAGACAACAGCACATGAGATTTGATTATAGTAGTGAAGGTTTCGTGCAGGACCATCCACATTTTTGTAGGGCCGAATACAGAGACCTGGTGCACTACGTGCCACAAAGTCCCCAAACGACCCTCCCCAGGTATTGAATTCAGAGTTGTCCTTCTCCTAGACCAGTTGCCATCCAAGGCTATAGAACCCAGTCTGTCCTGTTATTTACCCATATATATATATATATATATATATATATATATATATATATATATATATATATCTGTGTGTGTGTGTGTGTGTGTGTGTGAAAATAATTATAACCGGTATAAGCATTTTTATATCCTCCCACATCAACGCATAAATAATTCCATCAATAAACGGACTCATAGAAGCCCGCTTTGGTTTAAGAAGTGGTTTCCTCGTGGTACAAAAAGGGATACAGGTTCGATTCTTGTCGGAGGTAGTATTTTTCTTTAGTAGGATTTTTTTTTATTTAGGATGATTATCTTTAATTTCACTGTTTAATAAAATAAAATAAAAACAGGAGTAACAAGTCAAATAGGAATAAAAACTAAAAATATCCCCCCCACCACCGAATCTATAATGAAAGATTTATATGTTGATTGTTAGGTTTATTGACAATATTTTGCATTACTTGCATTATTTACATTATTCGGACTGTTATCCTCATCTTCATTGCAATATTCACAACGTTTCGGCCGTTATACGCTCCGGTCTTCTTCAGGTGATTGGATCTCTGAGATGAGGTATTATGATTACTCGCATTATTTACATTATTCGGACTGTTATCCTCATCTTCACTGCCATATTCACAACGTTTCAGTCGTTTTACGCTCCGACCTTCTTCAGGTGATTGAAATTTCGGACAGAATCCTTTACCACGTCAGGGGAGTTAGATTGTTATAGTTCCACGTGGTATTCCGGATTTCTTAGTTATTTCTCTTTAACTCACATGTCTAAGTTTTTGGTTCACCACTACTGTAGCTTGGTATTGAACTCACAACTCTTTGGGTTTAGTCTACTTTTTTTAAAATATAATGCCTGGTCATTGGTACTACCTACGTCACATTTGCATATATATATATATATATATATATATATATATATATATATATATATATATATATATATATATATATATATATATATATATATATATATATATATAAAACACCTCAGATACGTCGCAACACTTTTCTTTTTAGCTAATTTATGATGGAATTTTCTGAGAAGGATTATTTGTAATTTTGTAATTTTGTAAATTCGATCAATAAAATTATTAGACACAAAGTGTCTATTTTCTTTAATAACATTGGCCTTTTATATATATATATATATATATATATATATATAATGATATTTTTATTAAATTGCGACACGGAAATGTCTATGTTGCGAGACTAAAGTTTTTATCTCATTATCAGGTTTGGTAACTTTGGTGAAAATGATTTACATTTGAAAATAGAAAACAATAAATTTGCTTATTAAAGAGTTAATATGAAGGGGGAAGAATTCAGATTTCTAGATCTTATGGGCGTGTCTCTTTTAACTAATCAGAAGGAAGGTCAACGCTAAATCTAAAAAGTTAAAAACAGAGGTTAGATGTTGGGGATGTGTGGTATTCATACATATCTCGGGGAACTGTCATATTAACGACTCGACACCTTACTTCCAGCAAAAAGTATACATTTAAGTTAGAAAGAAATATTCTTAGAAATATATATATATATCTGACAACGGATTAATTTTTTTTTTTATATTTTAACATATATTTTAGAATTATCTTAAAGGGACTTTTTGTATGATCAAAATATCATATGTATTTATAATGCACACACAACGACACGATGAGGCTATACAGAGAAAGAAAAAGACACGAAAAGGCTTAGATACATAGACAGACAGATAGATCGATAGATAAATAGATAGATAGATAGATAGATAGATAGATAGATAGATAGATAGATAGATAAGTCGCCGATACTGACCACTCATCAAGCATAATTTATATATATATATATATATATATATATATATATATATATATATATATATATATATACAATTTATTATGTATATTATTTATATGTTATATATAGCGGTACTTATTGGAAAGCGCTAAATATCAGTGATAGAGCGATATAATTAGTTGCGTTGATGTGAGTTTGTCACCCTGGGTTTCACGTTTTTGACTCTGGTTTTCAACTATATATATATATATATATATATATATATATATATATATATATATATATATATATATGTATATATATATATACTAGTGTGCGTATCTCTAAGCCTGTGTGGATATACGATCAACAAACAGTATTTACTACTGTATTTATATGAATGGAGACATACACATTATCGTCCGTAGGTATGCTACAACAAAAATTATATCTTTTTGTTAGGAAGAGTCTGGTTCGAAATTATCTTTGGAATTTCTCGGACATTCAGGCCGGTAAATGTTAATATTTATTATAAAAAGAACATTTACTTAAATATTTGCATCAATGAAAGTAATGTAAAAACAATTAATATATTAAAAGAATTGTCGGATTTAGTCTATATATATATATATATATATATATAATTAAGTTATGAAGAACTTGGTAATCCGTATGGGTAATCCCAAGGAGGATGAAATCCTGAAAGCTCAATGTAAATCCAGAGCTAATATTTAAAAAAAAAACAGACCACTTTAAGGTACCATTATAATAATTTATTTCACCAGAGCCCTTTTAAAAGGACGCCGGATCATCAGATAGCCCTTCCAAAATGAAATGAAACGAAATATATATATATATATATATATATATATATAATTTATTTCACCAGAGCCCTTTTTAAAGGACGCCGGATCATCAGATAGCACTTCCTAAAATTAAATGAAACGAAAATGAAATTAAAATTGATGGGTAGTGTAAGTTTTGTAATTTAACAGAGAGTGTAAAATAATATATGTATATATATATATATATATATATATATATATATATAAAAAACTATGATGTGAAGAAGGAAGAAGAAAAAGATAAAGGGGAAGAGAAGAAAAGCACACACACACACACACACACACACACACACACACACACACACACACATATATATATATATATATATATAGGTATAGTTTTTTAACCAAAATACAATTAATATTTTATTCATTATGTCTTCTTAATATTAAACGATGTGAATTTGGCAATGAAGATGAAGACAATAGCCCGATCAATGTAAATAAAAAAAGACAAATAAAATTATACAAACACATGAGAAATTATATAAAATCTCAACAGCTGCACCTTGTCAGTCGCCGTTAACGAAACGTGCATAACAGAAGGATTACTGAATGAAATACAACATATATATATATATATATATATATATATATATAGAAATATGTTGTAGTGGTTCCAACGAGAGAAAAGTATGTATATTAAAAGAAGAGAAGAGAGTGCCGCAAACGTTTTTTTGTTGTAATGTGGATTTATTTAGAAAAAATATTATGCTTTGTTTTTACATAATTTTACGACACGTGTTTCTGGTCTCATGACCGTCTTCAGGTAAAAGTGGAGATTTCCACATATTATTAAAATAATTAATTTTTCCTTATGTTCAATGTTAAATATTCTCGATATGAGACATTCTCTGTTTGTGTGTTGGTAATAAGAAAGAAATTCGGATTACCAACACACAAACAGAGAATATTTATCAGACTGAATCCATTATATATATATATATATATATATATATATATATATATATATATATGTGTGTGAGCAAGGTCGAAAATTGTAGATTAAAAACAGTAAAATCGACCTTGCTAACCGAAAGGCTCCTCTGTAGCGAAATCAGTAAAAAACCAAGTCAGGCTAAATGACGGTTTCGTATAGGATTCAGGTTCGAATCCTGTCGGAGGACGCATATTTTCTATGACAATTTCTCAGACATAATAAACTTAATAAACAGTATTAACAACATTTACCGGCCTGAGTAAATGTTGTTAATACTGTTTATTATAAACAGAACATTTACTTAAATATTTGTATCTACAAAAAAGAATGTATGAACATAAAAATGCCTTAAAATAATTGTCGGACTACGTCCATTTCTTAATATCTATATATATATTTTTTTTTGAGTAATGGATAGCGGCTTGGATTGAGGAATCGGAGAGCTGAGTTCGAATTCCAGGCGAATCCATTACATTCACTTACGTGCTAATACCCTTGGGAAAGGTATGAATCCTCTTCTTCTCCCTCCAGCTATGGGTAAATAGCAGGGCAGACTGGGTTCTATAGCCTTGTATGGCAACTGGTCTAGGAGAAGGACAACTCAAAACCTGCAGAGGATCGTTTGTGGACCCTGTGGCACTTAGTGCACCAGGTCTCTGTATCAAAAAGTGTGGATGGTCCTGCACGAGGCCTTCACCACTATAATCAAATCTCATGTGCTGGTGTCGGGCTGTCGGCTTCCTGGAAACTGATCTGCTTGACCCTCATACGTCGAATTCGACGGGGGAGTCGAGTATATATATATATATATACACATATATATATATATATATTACAGTAAAGTCTACCCTGTATGAGACCTAAGAGCCACTGTGGTAGCGGGTTATGTTAAGGATCAGTTTATTCAGATAGAGGGGAAGATAACGGTTAACTCTACACTTGAACAGGATAAATGGGAAGTCGGTTTCACAGAGACAATGGTTGACGGGATGAAGCTTTTTGGACACTATTGAGACTGGAAAATGAAGACTGTGCAGCTCCAGGCCAAAATATGACAACGCAGATGAAACTGAACAAAATAGCACATGACCATGGGAGAATTACCCCAATTCCTAAAGTTTTAGGATTTCATCTGACATAGTCCACTGGTCTTGTGCGTGCGATAGTGCGTGCGATAGTGCGTGTGATAGTGAGTGCGATAGTGCGTGTGATAGTGAGTGCGATAGTGCGTGTGATAGTGCGTGCGATAGTGCGTGCGATAGTGTGTGCGATAGTGCGTTCGAGCATGGTAGGCAACTTTTCTGCAAACCTGTTGAATTCGTATGTGTGTCGCGAGCGTGTGTTGGGAGCGTGTGTCGGGGACGTGCGTGTAAGTGTGTAACGATTTTGTCAGCCAATAATACACCCACAAAGATACGATTGGGATATACAGATCAAGAAAAAGAGATGAAAAGGCTTAGATAGACAGATAGATAGATAGATAGACCCAGCAAGACATGAAAACAGATATTTAGGTAGGTAGACAGACAGGCAGATAAATAGATAGATAGATAAAGCCAGCAAGATAGGAAAACAGATAGATAGATAACGTCAGTCAGATATGAAAACAGACAGAATGATACATAAAGCCTGTAAGACATGAAAACAGCTAGCTAAATAGATAGGTGATAATATATATATATATATATATATATATATATATATATCAGAAACCTGACTAGTGGAAATTTTAAAATTTTATATTTGTAATAATGACATATATATATAGTATACAAAATATGTTTGTCATCCAATTTCAGTCTTTTGCAAAGATTAAACGTATATTTAATATCAAAATCTATCCATATATTCTCGTTTGTTCATACGTGTGTGTGTGTGTATATATATATATATATATATATATATATATATATATATATATATATATATATATATATATATATATGAATTTATCTATATGTGTGAGTATATATATATATATATATATAAATAAAAGAAAGAACAGTAAGATATAAAATCCGGTGTTCTTATAGATATTTTTATTTTACAAAAATATTGCTCAATGTAAATTTACAGAGCATTAATATTATAAATTAATTGATTTAAAATATGTTTTTTTTTCGCTACACAGTTCTAACCACTAACTAATGCTTTTAATTAATTGCAAAATTAAATTCGGGGCTTTTAGCTTCTATTTTTGAAACATAGTTAGAACTGTGTAGCGACAAAACATATTTTAAATCAATTAATTTATAATATATATATATATATATATATATATATATATATATATATATATATATAAGGTTAATGGTCAGAGTTGAATCAGAACAGGAAACAGTAGTATTAAAAAGTGCTCAATACACGTGTGAAAATTTTTTTTAAAAAGAATATAAAAATAACATGTAGAGCTTTTAACTTTAAAAATCAGGAGGAGATCAGTTGAATCTGCTGCCTTGGTTTCAATCTTACGGTCTCCTCAGGCAAATTTTTAATCAAATGACATATTAACGCTTTATTTTTAATTATAAAAAAATAAAGAAAGCTACATTATTAATTTCAAAAATAAGTTAACAAACGCATGACGTTGAGTGTAATATAAAGGGAGGAGGAGGATGTGAAGAAGATGAAGAAGAAGAAGAAGAAGAAGAAAGAGATAAAATCAAGTGTATTGTAGATGTAGGTATATCTGGGAAGAATTTCTGTGGCATCTTGCATATATATATATATATATATATATATATATAGGTGGTGTTGAAACAAAATGGCTATTTTTGTAGTGATTTTATAACATATTTATGTTATATTTTTAAAAAATAAATAATTATATCTGCTCTACTCTGTATTGTGCACTCTTTTCAGAATAGTAATTGTTGGTTATTGGAATTCATTCTGTATACACCAATTATATACTTGTATATATATATATATATATATATATATATATATATATAGGTATAGGGAAATGAAGTAACTAAATATAAATTAAGTCGCACACCAAATGTAGGTATATGTATATTCATTAATATATATATATATATATATATATATATAAGAAATATAGTTTAAGGTATGCTATATTTATGGGATAAAGTGCTCAATATCAGAGATAGAGCGTGTGTAAATATAAAAGTGAACATTGAAGTCAACACTCAGGACGACAGACTGTTATATATATATATATATATATATATATATATATATATATAAATCTAGTGGCATAAAATTCTACACATTCAGTTCAAAATAATTTTTTTTTAGAGCATCATTGATAATGGCTAACAGAATAGCCGAAAGTGCTCGGATAAGCAGAATTTTTTGAACAGTTTTTGTACGCTTTATGTCCAGAAAAGAAAACACGAATGCAAGAAAAATTGAATAAAAAAGTTTAATCTTCATACATTGTCAGTCGTCTTTAGCGAAACATTTATAAAAGAGGGGATACTGCCCAAATACTCAATATATATATAAACGCTATCTACGTTGGCAAGCACTGAAAAGAAAGTTCTCTTTCTGGCCAAGGAGGAATTAAAAAAATTTCGCTACTTGGCCATTAGATTTACTTTTTTGGAAGTGGGTCGGGTCGAGGCGTTTTCACCACCCAGTTCGCAATGATGCGCTGTGACAGGTTAAGTTGTCATAGGAAAGTGGGAGCCTGACATAAAATCTTAAATCATAGACGTGTGCGTCCACATAAATTACCTAGGACTGTGTTTCCACGCCCCTTTAATCAATAAATAAATAAGAATAAAATAAAATAAAGAAACGAAGAAAAAGTAGCAAAGAAGACGAAAAAAGAGGAAGAGGGAAAAAGAAGAGAAAAAAAGAAGGAAAAAGTAAAGAAGAAGAAGAAGAAGAAGGAGGAGGAAGAAGGAAGAGGAGGAGGAGGAGGAGGAAGAAGAGGAGGAAGAAGAAGAAAGAGGAGGAAGAAGAAAGAGGAGGAAGAAGAAGAAGAACAAGAAGAAGAAGAAGAAAAATTAATTGGAAAGACGTTTATCGTTTTTCACGCTATTGCTCAACATATACGAGTCACTCAAGGTAGAGCACGTTAACTGTCGACCATGATGTTTTTAAAGACAGAAGAAAACCCGACCACTAGCCTTGGAAAACCTTCATATATATCGATGGTCATATCTTTTATACTATTGTATACACAATACAAATATTTTCATGACGACCTCCTTTCACTGGTACCCCGATAGCATGAATTTAAGCGTGCTACTAGCTTGGCATCTAAGCCCCACCCTTTCATTGTCGAAACAGTTAAATGTAGCCGTCTCTTCTACTCCAACAGCTTCTTATCTCGCACTTCCCGACAGTGGAACTCCCTTCCTCTTACTTGCTTCCTTGATAGCTATAATCTCCAAATATTCAAATGCAATGTCAATCGACATCTTCTGATGCCTTGATCCTGATCACCGTCTTTCTCTATTTCATTTCCTCAAACACCCCCCTCTTTACTCTCTGTAATCTCTTACCTTGCTTGGGGGGAAATGCTTAAAAGAATTACAAGACTCAAGTGTTTCTCAAAATAGAGGATTACGTGAATTAGGGATTATGAGGATATATAGGATAAATAACGGTTGACGCTAGACTTGCCATGTATGGGTTATTTTATGTATGTATCGAGAATTAAAGGAATGTTCCAATTTCCGAACATGGTCAGCATATTGTGGCCGTGTTCACAGAAACATAATTAAAACAATGCATACATTCAGTTAAAAGTGAAAATAAAATTATCCTTGACAATGGTTAAAAGTATAGCCGAAAGCACTCGGACATAAAAACATTTGGATAATTTCTACATAATTTCTGTCCAGAAAAGAAAAAAGAAAAAACAAGACAAATTAAATCAAAACTTAACTGCAGTGCCTTGTCAGTCGTTTGTAATGAAACTAGTATAAAAGAGGGATTGCTGCCCAAATACATAAGTATATATATATATATATATATATATATATATATATATATATATATATATATATATATATATATATATATATAGAGAGAGAGAGAGAGAGAGAGAGGGAGTCACGGTGGAGTAATGGATAGCGGCTTGGATTGAGGAATCGCAAAGCCGAGTTCGAATTCCAGTCGAATCCATTACATTCACTTACGTGCTAATATCCTTGGGAAAGGTATGAATCCTCTTACTCTCCCTCCAGCTATGGGTAAAATAGCAGGACAGACTGGGTTATATAGCCTTGGATGGCAACTGGTCTATGAGAAGGACAACTCTGAATTCAAAACCTGCGGAGGGTCGTTTGGGAACCTTGTGGCATTCGGTGCACCAGGTCTCTGTATTCGTCCCTTCAAAAAGTGTGGATGTTCCTGCATGAGGCCTTCACCACTATAATCAAATCTCATGTGCCGGTGTCGGGCTCTCGGTTTCCTGAAACTGATCTGTTGACCCTCATACGTCGAATTTGACAGGAGAGTCGATTATATATATATATATATATATATATATATATATATATATATATATATATATATATATATACTGTTTGTTGGTGGTAACAAAACAGTACTCTGTGTAATATATATATATATATATATATGTGTGTTTTGTAGGTGTGGGTGTGTTTTGAACAATAAAAATATTAAAAAATTAAAATTTTCAGAGACACTGGGTTG